GCTCGTTACCGCGTAGCCCGACGTCAACGAACTGGACGGAAGAAAAGAGCAACATCAGCTGAATTGGTTCGAAAAGTAAAGAAGCGACTTGATTGAAACCCGCGTCGCAGTGGCTCGTGAGCTACACATATCACAATATTCCATTCGGTAAGTATTGAAAAATGAGCTCGGGATAAATCCATTGAAATTCCAAAAAGTGCAAAACTTACACCGCAACAGAAAGAAAATAGGCTCAAAAGAGCTAAAGAGTTGCTTCGCTTGGCCGAAAGTTGTGAACGGCCGAATTTGGTTTTCTCCGATAAGAAAACATTCGTTGTCCAGCAGTTTGTAAACAAACAAAAGGATCGTGTTTACTTGCAATAGATGTCAGCTGAAAATGTGCACCTTCGGTTGGCCACCAGAAATCAAGCGTCGGCCATGGTGAAGGTGTGGGCCACCATAACAGCCGATGGTCGCTCTACGCTCGTATTAATCGACCGTGGCATCAGAATAAATGCCGAATATTATCGCGAAAATATTCTGGAGGGTGTATTAAATCCTTGGGCACGCAAACATTTTGGCCGCAGACCTTGGACATCGAAACAGGACTCAGCACCATTGCACTCAGAACGCACTACCCAAGAATTGTTACAAAATGAGGTTCCTCGCTTCATTTCCAACGCACAATGGCTACTAAAATCTCCGGATACCAATCCGTTGGACTATTGTGTCTGGAGTATTTTGGAAAGCAAGGTTGACACTAAAAAATACCAAATTGTCGATCACCTCAAGCAAGCGCTTCGCCGAGAATGGGCCAAAATACCGCAGAGCAACATTTGGCCAGCATGTGATGGTTTCATTGACCGTTGGGAGGCCATAATTCGTGCCAACAGTGACCAATTCGAACAAATCTAAACTTATTCTAAAATTTGATGCTATTTCCGACATTTGTTGCTTTTATTCAATAAAATTAAAAAAAAAAAAATAAATTATGGAGTTAGACTTTGTTGCAGTTTTTTTATATCACCCTGTATACACAAGTGTAACAACTCTACTAAATGGTACTAAATTCAGTGCAATTTGGTTTTGGATGAACGGATTAATCTGGAAATTTTAAAATATTGGTATTGGGGTCTCTTCTGGTTGGTAGAGTTAAGGTAAAAAGTTGGATTTGGAAATGTGTTCAGCAAATTTACGAAAGTTACTAAATGTTACTAAATTTGGTATTACGTGAACGAACGCTGCTTAAAATCTGAAAGTTGGCAATAGGATCACAGTTAGTGGGTAGAGTTGATATTTGGAAATGGTTTTGGAAATACGTCCTAAAAAGTACTAAATGGTACTAAATTTGGTATTCGTTTAATGTCTAAAATTAGAAATCAAGATCACCTTTTGTGCGGTTTGGTTTATACATGGCTGAGGATTTGGAAATTCGTACTCATACGGTATGAAAAGTACTAAAATATTCTAACAATTAAAAAAAAAATATTGGAAAAACGGAATAAGCTGGAATTGTGAAATTTGGAATAAAAGTCACTGATGGAGTGCGGGATAGGGTTAATCCAAACTCTAAGGTTAAGAAAAGTTCTAATAAGGTACTAAACATCTTAAATGGTACCATTTATTATTATATGAACCGAAAGATCTAAATACTTCAAATTTGGTATGGAAGGAAGGTGGTGTTGGAAATGTTTACAAAAAGTGCGAATTGTACTTATTTGGACTAAATTTGAAACACTTTGGTCTAGGGTGAACAGATAAAGCTGGAATTTTGAAAAATTGTATTGACTTTCCCGTAAATGGAACAAGAAATGGTTACTACAAGTACAGGGAAAGTATCAAATGGCATTAATTTGGATCAAATTTGTACAGGGTTGCCCATATTCGACGGACCCATCTGGCAACGCCATAACTTTTGCAGAGATGTCACATCGCTTAATGACATACCGCGTTTGAAGCGTTAGTCCAAGCAGGTTTTTGACCATGAACCAATACACGCCATGCGAGCGCTCTGAAATAGTTGAAATTTACATTCAACAGAAGAAGTCAATTGTGGAAACTCATCGTGCTTTTAAAACATTAAAAAATGTGAGAAGTGCGCCTTCTAAGAACACCATTAAGCGTTTATACGAAAAATTTTCGACTGGTAAGGCTCTTTCTAATCCGAAGAGGCCATATAAAAGTCGACCAAGGCGATCGGATGAGAATATTGCTGCCGCACGAGCCAGTGTTGAGAGTTCCCCAAGAACATCCCAAAAACGCCGTTCTCAGCAGTTGGGCATGGCTCGGTCCACTTTACAACGGATTATTCGCATTGATTTGCATTTGTTCCGTACAAAATTCAATTGACGCAAAGAATGTTTGGAAGGTCCGTCGAATATGGGCAACCCTGTATTGAGTGAAGGGACATTGCTTGCCGTTTAAATTTTGTATTAGGGTCGCTGTTTAAGTGAAGTCTTGACATATGGAGAATTTCTTACATCGGGATCGAATTTGGTACCTTTCACTATTTTATGTGCCTTTAGTTTCCAATTCCCACAAATACAGCTCTACTTCAATCCACACACTGATAGGAGTCCACACACAAAATGTCAGCTTTATCACCTAAAAGGTACCACAAATGTTGCCACACTCTATGCATTAGAGCTTTAAAATACCTAAAATACCAGAGCTTTAAAATACGTTTTGGTTCGATTTTCCAACAGCTCACCCTGTTCTCATCCACATAACAAGGGTGTCCCTTATTCTTAATTTTAGAATTTTAGCTTTTCTCGTTTTCAAAACACCATATCGCAGGATTCCGTAGATTGACCTGAGGACGGTGGAAATTGAACTACCTTCTTGGAGCACTATGAGTTATCAGTACGAGTATTCGACCTGGGGGAGCGATTGTATTACCTGACCCTACAAGTTTGCTGTGTCTGCTTTATTTGCTCTATCTGTTATCCTTAGCTTACTTTTTACCCTCGGAATATAAGTTAATTTTTATTACAAAATCATTTGCCTTTAACTTCCTATTCCTCTCCCCTCGTCTCTCCCCTCCTTAACCAACATCTACACCGATTTGTATACATTTATGATTGCCATGAAAACTTAAATGATAACCATCTAAATTATGCTTCCTCCTCATAAATAATGTCTCAATCGGACAGATGAATGCTAACAACAAAAACAAAATGTTATCGGAAATGATTTACATGATGACATTTAGTGACCAGCATCAATAACTATAACCTCCACATCTCCGCATACAAAATATGTATGTCTCCATCAAAAATAACAACAACTACCAATGCTGGTAGTAAAGCCATGCCAAGGAGGGGGAGGAGGAAGGACAACATGAGCAGGAGAAGTAGGAAATACTGAAATTGCCCAGTAATGTAATTTCAGCAAGTAAATCCAATAACATTGAACTGTAATAAAAATTTCCCCATAACCCAAAAGCAATGATACGAGCATGGGCCAAAAAGAAGCAAAGAACCCCATATCATTGGCTCGAGGAAGGGGGGGGGGGGGGGAGAACACAGAATCTCTCAAAATGTAATAAAAATGTATGAAGTGTCATCCTTGTGGCAGTTAATTGTAACGAAATATCGAAGCGAACGAATTTGTTCGAATGATAGACACGAACACCCGGGACATACGCAGGCAGAACTATAATTAGATGATCCCAAAATCAGCCGCTAATTTTTCCGCAATTTGCTTAGTAATGAAATATAAATACAAAAATAAAACCATAAATATCAAAGGGCGAGGGGAGGGAGAGACACACTCAAACACACATTTGAAAAGGGAAAAAACATAGACCCCACCTCCCCCATTTGCTTTGCATCAAACAGTCAGTTTCCGTATCCGCAGGACACTAAAACAAGGGTTTCATACGCCCTCGTCTTCCAACTGTTGGCTTTGGTGTGATAGTGTCTCTCCGGCTGGATTGCAAACGAAAACAGATACAATGGCCAAATCCCTTTTCTTGTTTGTTCAGACACAAAGGTTTTGGCGTTTCATTTCGATTTCAGTATTTCTTCTTTTTTTTTGCTGAGCCGAACAGCAACAACAACACCACCAACAACATCAATATTTATACCCTGGAGTGTTGCACATGTCTCATCTTTGCTTTGAACTTGTTGTTTCCTTTTACTTATTTGGGGGACGAAAGCAGTGAGCTTGTCAACCAACCACCCACCCATCCATCCATGTTTTCGTGCTGGGCCATCCATGTTCAACTGTCACATATCCAACCAGCCAGGCAGCCAGCCATCAAGGCTGGGAAGCATTCAGCCATGTCAAGCCCACCAATGTGAATGTTTGATGGAAGGCTGTTCGAAGAAGAAAACCAGTGGAAAACAACACGAAACATTCCTCCTTCCTTCCTTCCTTTCTTCGTTGGCTCGTTCGTTCGTCGTCGTTCATCGAATTGGAAGTGAACATATTGTCAGTTCCGAATTTGCTCTGTGACCCCCCAGCGGGAGTTTGGCAAATGCGAAATCACTTCAGTGACACACACACACGCATAAACAAACATGTACATCAAGTGTACATGGAGTATTGAGTATTCCTTGAAGGGTGACCGTTGGATTTTTTCCTAGCAGCTGGGTGTGTGTGTGCTTGGCTTTTGAGTTGTCATTTTTTTGTTGTTGTTGCTTTAAACGTTAATACCGTTGGTTAGAGGAGGCTTTTTTTGAGATCTATTGCAAAGTGTTTTATGTCCTAGAGAAATGTAGACAATCGAATATCGAAAATTCTTGCAGCTTAAAGGTTTCTCTTATCAGTTAATAAAAATTCGAGGTTAAGAATATTGACCAAAGTCCACCAACTATGGCGGACAATGACAAGGGGCAAAATAATAGGTGTCAAAAGTTATTGACCCTGGGGGAATAGATATTGACCAGAGGTCAATAGGTATTGACCCGAAATCAATAGGTGATTCTCAGAGGTCATAAGGTATTGACCAGAGGACAATATGTATTAACCAGAGTCCAGGGTAGGTGTTGACCCGAATCCAGATTTTGACACGCGATCTATAAGTTATGATCAGATTTAAATAGGGCTTGACCAGAGGTCAATAGATATAACAGGGGTTGACCAGAGGTCAATAGGGCTTGACCAGAGGTCAATGGGTACTGACCCGAGGACAATAGGTATTGACCCGAGGTCAATAGGTTTTCACCCGAGGTCAATAGGTTTTCACCCGAGGTCAATAGGTATTGACCCGAGGTCAAAAGGTATTGACCCGAGGTCAATAGGTATTGACCCGATGTCAATAGGTATTGACCCGAGGTCAATAGGTGTTTACCCGAGGTCAATAGGTGTTGACCCGAGGTCAATAGGTGTTGACCCGAGGTCAATAGGTGTTGACCCGAGGTCAATAGGTGTTGACCCGAGGTCAGTAGGTGTTGACCCGAGGTCAATAGGTGTTGACCATAGGTCAATAGGGGTTGACCATAGGTCAATGGGTATTGACCAGAGGTCAATGGGTATGGACCGGAAGTCAATGGGTATTGACCAGAGGTCAATGGGTATGGACCGGAAGTCAATAGATATTGACCAGAGGTCAATAGGTATTGACCAGAAATCGATAGGTATTGACCAGAGATCGATAGGTATTGACCAGAGATCGATAGGTATTGACCGGAGGTCAATAGAGCTTGTCCTGAGGTAAGTAGGTATTATCCCGAGGTCAATAGGTATTTTCCCGATTGATTGACCCGAGGTAAGTAGGTATTGTCCCGGGGTAAGTAGGTACTGTCCCGAGGTCAATAGGTATTGACCCGAGGTCAATGGATATTGACCCGAGGTCAATGGATATTGACCCGAGGTCAATGGATATTGACCCGAGGTCAATGGATATAGACCCGAGGTCAATGGATATTGACCCGAGGTCAATGGATATTGACCCGAGGTCAATTGATATTGACCCGAGGTCAATTGATATTGACCCGAGGTCAATTGATATTGACCCGAGGTCAATTGATATTGACCCGAGGTCAATTGATATTGACCCGAGGTCAATTGATATTGGCCCGAGGTCAATTGATATTGACCCGAGGTCAATAGGAATTGGTCAGAGGATTACAGCATTGATTTGAACTCAATAGCAGCAGTATTGACTTTAGGTCAAGTTTTGAGGTAGTTTAACTTTTGGCTGTAACCTTCTGAATTTATATTTTTTTGCCACCCAAATTTTAGTATTTCCCTATGAATTCACTGTTCCTGTGCCAGGTATTTAAAAAATCCACCACACATTTGCACATATGTGCCTCAAAAATAACATATTCATATTCCTGTTGTTTTGATGGCTCTTGTCTTTAATTTGCGACACACTCTCAAAGCACTTGTTTCGGCAGGATGCACATGGGTCGTGATACACACACACACACGAAACACTTGTAGTGGTTGGTACTCAAGGATGGCGAAAAACGCATTTGCCTTTTATAACGTGATTATCTGACGATTTGATTTGTCGTTGAGTGGCGAAAACAAATACAAAATCATTTCAGAAAGACGACGACGACGAGAGAGCACATAAACGGAAATAGGAAGCAAATAGCTTACAAGAAATTAACAACAGGGACTACAAAAACAGGGATACATAAACTTGCAAATAAACACACATCCCTCATTTCTCCTCCCACTGCCCTGCTTTTCGAAAATCCCCAGTGCCTTTTTCCATTGATGACTCTGTGCTACACGCCTTCCAATTCATATTTACCCAACATCCAGCAGGGAGGCAAAGCAGTCAGTCAAGCGAAATGGGCTTATGGAAATTTTGCCAACTCAAAATTTAATATGATTCCTTCGTTTAATCTCATAGTCGGATTAAAGTAAGAATGAGAATAGAGGAAAAAACGAAAAAAGAAAACAGTGAGGAAAATACGGCTTGCTCCCTCTTGGGATGGAAGGCAGAGATGCTTAACTTGTTGTAACTGCATGAGTGGCTTTGAAGAGCGTCGGGGGTTAAGGTGGCTTGGCAGTACTAAACTTGTTTTTGCGAAAGCTGCCAGCACCTGCCTTTGGGGAACTGTTTTAACTAGTTGCTGTGCTTTCTTACCTCCGATAATACGCCTCATTGTAGACGTTAATAACTATTTTCGGGAGAGAAAAAACAAATTTAAACAAGTAAATAAGCAACTAAAATCTGCCGGACCGAAATTGTAATACCTCCCACCATTTTTAAGTATCGTGAAAATTTTGAAAAAAATCCGCCAAAAAATACAACTTAAATGAAAACTGTTATGTGGGGGCTATAAGAAGATATAGACCTTCATAAGTAATTTTTTGTCATAGGCTGTAGTAACGATTGCGAACTTTAAATACGAAATTTGAAACAGCTCCGTTGAATAATGTCGCCAATATCATCAAAATACCGAATAAAGGGAGGTACTATTATATGAGGACTATACGAAGTCGTGGACCTGCATAGACAAATTTCCGTCATTAGATCTTCAAACTTTAAATACGAAATTCGAAACAATTGTGCTCAAAATACTATCTCTTCCAGAAGAAATGCCTCGTGCGGATTTTGAGACAATTCCATTGAAAAATTTAAAACGTCCAAAATGTGCCTCATCGAAATTACGGTTTTTGACCATAGGTCTCTTTGGACCAAATCCGTTTCAAGATATTTGGAGTCGATCCGTCTGTCTGGCTGGTGCGCACGAAAACACACGTAGGGTACATAGTAATGTATTGGTATATCGTAATATTTTTGTCAAAATTAGATCGTGTTAGGAGATGGGTACCTCCCTCACAAAAGGTCAACATTTTCAATAAAAAAAAAAAAAAAAATATTTCACTGCACAGAAAGAGAAAGGGTAATCCGATTTTGCTCCAACTTTGCAAATCCTAATATTTGTATCAGTTTCAGGTCAGGTGCGAATATAGGCAATATCGGCTCCTACTCCATCAAGTAGTACCTCCCCCACAAAGGTTCAAAATTTCGAATAATTATAGTTTTTATAAAATGTGATGTAAGAGTCCGATTGTCTTCAAATTACATACAGCACAATATTTTTATTAACCTAAGGTCTAGTACGAAGATGGAATATATTGATCCTCTCATTCTTGTACCTTCCCCACAAAGGGTTAAAATTTTGAATATCCATGGAGCTCATAAAACGTTAAATTAATATACGATTTCATTCAGACTTGATATATCTCAATATTTCCATCAACTCAAGACCTGTTATAAAGATGGACGGGATCGCACCATTCCTTCTGATACCTCACCCACAAAGGGTCAAAGTTTTGAATAATCAAAACGATCATAAAATTCGAAATAAGCATCGGGTTCCCTTCATATTTTACACATCCCATTATATCTTCTAACACAAGATCTGCTGAGAAGATGAAATATAACTGTCCACTCCTTCCTGTACCTCTCCAAAAAAAAGCGTCAAAATTTTGAATATCCATGAAGCTCATAAAACGCTAACTTAATATCCGATTCAATTCAGACTGGGTACATCTAAATATTTTCATCCACAAAAGAGTTAAAGATGGTAGGGGTCGGACCATTTCTTCTGGTGCCTTCCCCACATATGGTTCAAGATTTTGTAAAACAAAACGCTCAACGAAAGCGAAATAAACACCCAACTCTCTTCAAATGTCACGCATAAAAACACAAGATCTGTTGTAAAAATGTTATATATCTGCGAACTCCTTCTGGTACCTCAACCACAAAGGGTCACAATTTTCAATACTTTTATCTGTCTGCCATAACTTGCGAAATAAGGCAGCGGTTCTTTACAACTTGCTATATCTAAATATTTCTCTTAACCAGAAATCTGAAATGAATATGGAATTTATGATTCCGCATAAAATTGGATATAAATGTAAACAAATCTGATACCTTCCTCACATTTTATTTCTAAAAATTATCCCATATCTCATATAAAGTAAGAAAGTATTGTCCTGAACGTGGCACGTCGCAATTTTTCTATCATATTTATTTAGGACCGATACCAAATGGGCAATATAGGCCCATTCCTTCGGAACCTACTCCATAGAGAGTCAACCATTTGAATAATCATCACAGAAACAAAATATATTTAAATAACCGAATACTGCCTGGGGTGTAAATATACGTTTACAAACCGACCTGCTTAATTTATTTCCTGAAATATTTAATATGTATTCATAACTTCTCTGAAACAAAACCAGGAGTGGAATTCTCTAACTCATTTTTTGAGTTACTGACAAAGATCGGTAAGTTTGAAAACCAAAATTTTGATATAAAGTTATATAAAGAAGTTTAAAATAGACAACCTTGGTATCTATCGGTAGGTTTTAGCGAGTACTTTTATTTTGTCGCTGATTTACCGAAAAAATTTCGGATATTAACAAAATTCTAAGCATTTTAATTTTAACCACTTTTGCCTGTAACTGAAAAAAAAATATTTAGAGAATTCTACTGCAGAACTTGGTCAACAAAGTATGTGACATGTGGTGTGGATAAACTCAATTTTTTTTCTTCCCCCACCCTCACACCCGATAAAAAATAAACCTATAACATATCCTCTTGCAACAAAAAAAACCCTAACCCACAAACAAATATTTTATTTAACAATTAACAAATCGGCAATTTGTTGGTTATCCTTCGTTTTATGCCTTTTTTCTCTTCTGTTCTGTGATGACAGTTCCAGTGAACTTCAGGCCATTGAAATTTTCCCAATTCATGGGTAAATATTACCTCTGAACAGTGTCTAAACACCGGTGTTACACTGGGAATGGCATAACACGCGAACAGGACATTAATGCGTCTCACAAACCTGTCAAAATGTAAGACATGCACACGGTTCGGTTGGACGATTGGGCGGTCGGTCGGCTAGTTCAGCACGCATAGTTTTGTGATTTTTGACGCCAATTGTTCCCTGTTTTCCGGTTAACGTTTATCGAACGAAGGAACAACAACAACGTCAGCAATGTTATCTACAACAAGGATAAGCATGTAAAAGGAGTAACATCCACATCTGCAGGCAACACGTGTTACATGTTCGCCTAGCTGTTGTTGGTGTTATTGTTGTCCATTGTCCGTCTTTGTCATTTGCCACCGTTTTACAACCCACACGCTAAGCTTTCAAACAGAAGCGACAACAATGCTGATGGACGGCTATTGAATGTTCTTGCCGCTGCGACGTTGTTGTCATTGTTGTTGCTGCTCGTAATGTTGCTCATACGTGAAACACGTCATGCCATACCACACACTACGGGTTCATGGGGATATATGGGCCGATATCCAGAGCAGAAACCACATGCATTTTGCTACCACACACACATATGGGTCGTATGGCGTGGTACCTTGGGTAGTGGACATTAAGTAGTTTCCTTCGAAACATATCCATAAAGCGGAACAGTGCTTGTGAAATGTTTGAGAACACGTCCTTAATTATGATTAAACGTAAAAGAAGGTGCCCCAAAGGCCCAAGGAAGCTAGAGTATCCTAATAGGTTAAAAGCCTTCGTAACGAGATGGCCGTGTAAATTCAAAATTCCAGAATTTAAGGTCTTTTATGAACAGAAGATCGTCTCTAAAAAAGACCTTTAGCAGGGTCCTATAGAGAGAAGACTTAAGAGCTCTTCTATATAGGGACGTCCTCCAAAGGTCTTCTATAGGGGAATAATCTTGGACACTACTTGGCGGGATTCTATAGAGAGAAGACTTATAAGCACTACTATATAGGGACGAGCTCTAAAGGTCTTATATCTAGGGAAGACCTCTAAAGGTCTTCAACAGAGGGAAAACCTTTAGAGGGGTTTTATGGAGTTTTTCCATGGAGCAAAAATCATTGGCGGTGTTCTATAGTAAGAAGATTCTTCTATACAGGAATGATCTACAAAAGTTCTTCTCTAGAGGGATAATCTTTGACTCCGTTTAGCTGAAAAAGACTTACAAGCTCTTCTATATAGGGCCTACCTCTAAAAGTCTTCTATAGGGAAACAATCGCTGATGGACTTTTACAGTAAGTAGATCTTTGACAAAACCTTCATATAAAGATCGCCACTAAAACGAAGCCATATAATGTCTTTAAAAAGCAAATGACATTTCCAAGATTTTCTGGAGATAGAAGACCTTCTCAATATTTTGAATATATTCAATATATTTGAATATATTTCAAAGTTTTCTAGAGACAGAAGACCTCTAAAAGGTCTTACAAAATATATTGTGGAGACCGAAGTATTATTTAAGGTCCTCTAAAGGCATTACGAAGTACTTGTACAGGCAGATATAGGTAATTTTGACACATAAGACCGATTGAAGGCTTTCTAGTAGCAGTAGACATCTCGAAAATCTTCTACAGACAGAATACCTGCTAAAGAACTTCTAGAGACATAGGACCTCTTGAATACCTTTTAAACGTCTTACAAACACATACGATTTTTTATTTAAGGTCTTCTATGGACAGAAAACCTCTTGAAGGTCTACTGGAGGCGAAAGACTTCTTAAAGATCTTACAGAGGCACAAGGTTTTCTTGAAGGTATTTTGAAGGCAGAAGGTCTCTAGATGGTCTTATAGAGACACCAAACACCTCGAAGATCTTCTAGAAGTGAAAGACCTCTTGAAGGTCTTCTAGAGACAAAAGAGTTATTGAAGAAGCCGAATACATCTCGAATGTCTTCTCGAGGGCATAAGACTTATTTAAGGTCATCTACGGTTCTATCTTGAAGTTCTATTGAAAACAAAAGAACTCTTGAAGGTGTTCAAGAGGCACAAGACCTACTCAATTTATTCCTCTTGAGGGTATATTGCAGACCACATGAAGTTCTCTTAGAGACAGTAGACATCTCTAAGGTTTTTTAGAGGCAGACGCTTAAAGAAAGAGGATTATTGGAAGTCATCTATAAACAGAAACCCCCTTAAAGGTCTTCTGGAAACGGAAGACCTCTTAAAGGTCTTACAGACCCCGAAGCAGAAGACTACTTCTAGCAGTTGTAGAAGCAGAATACATCCTGAAGAGCTTCTTGAGTGCGTTTTCTTAAAGGTGTTCTATTAACAGAAGACCTCTGAAAACAGCATACCCCTACTTATTAAGGTCATCTACGGTTCTTATTTAAGGTCATCTACGGTTCT